CCTTCGCATTCTCATGTTTATTTCTATCAAAAAGACATTTTTTTTTCACAATGTTTTTGCCATTTAACACAAAGTTAAAATGTCAACGATGTCCGATCGTGTGCCTTACCCGAAGCAAGGGCAATAACAGCAACAACAACAAGTTGTAGATGCTGTCATGAGAGTGATGGATGGATGAACGGATGGCTAGATGGCTGGATGGATGGGTGAATGGGTGAATGGATGCCTGGTTGGTCGAGTATGCAAACTGTTTGTATTGGCTCTTTCAGCCAACTGAGATAGCCGCTGAGGCTGGGCTTTTGACTGCAACTGAAACTAAAACTGAAACTTTGTACACACACACCAACACACACACACACTGGCATACAAATAAAAAGTATGTTAACAACATTGAACGGCTGTCTGCCAACATTTTGCACACAAACAAGTCAAAGGACTCTTAAACGAACTTTCAGCTTACCACAATTAGTTTAGAGCACAGTATTGACAGCTTGTTGAAACAGAGAATATCTAACTATTAATTAATATATACAGATAGATAAATGATATACAAATATGTAGATAAGTATATGTATGTATTTCTACTAAGCAATGAGATTTAATTGAATTTCGACGATAATCTAACTTGGCTCTTAATTCTCATCCTCATACAAGACTCGAATTAAATATGTAATATTTATCTGAACACGTATAGAACTCAGAGTTGGCATAAAATACATTGAAGTATTTGCTTAATAAGTCTCTAAGGACATTGAGACGTTGCTTGTGGCATACGCAACGAAATACCCTGTAGTCAAGGCGAAGAAGTCCTGTCTGCACATGCACACCTATGCTGACCTAGCGTTAATATACCCTTTGTTTAACTTATGTACAATGGGTATGCATAACTAGCTTGTTTGCCATTCGACTTATATCATACATCTGGCTTGCAAACTGTCTGAGCGGCAATTGTTGTTAAGCAAACGTGTGTACATACATATGTATTTACATATACATACATATATCGTTACCAGCACCCATACATACGTATGTATATATAGCTGTCTGTGTGCCTTCGTTTCTTCTGGCTCTGTTTGCAGTCATAATATTAGTTTATGCTTTTATTTGCTAGTGCAAATAAGCAATATGCCACGCCTACCCAATGCCCACAACAGAGAAAGTCTTTTGTTGAATGTGCGCAATAAGCTCGTCCTGAGGCCTGACTCCAGCATCCTACCCAGACTGTACGTTCCTCAGCTGCGGAAACAAGATTAATGCAATTGGGAAAAACGTACGTAATGTACACACATACATACATACACATACAAATATATATAAATACATATGTAGTTGTGTGCGTGTTAATTTGTATTGGATTGTGTTTGATTTGCGTCGAAAATATATTAAATCAACAATGGGATGATTGCGCCAATCTATTTATGTATATACATACATACATACATATGTATGTGTGTGTGTTTGTTACTTATTTATTTATGTATATTGAATATTTAGAATAAATAACTGCAAAGTGTGCAGCGAGTATGCATTTTTTAAATACATTTAACAGTCAATCTATTGCGGAATAAACAAAGTCAGTGAACTATTCAAATTAATAAAAATATACTCCGCTGTTGACAGTAACCGATTATTGTTATCGATAGTTTTATAGCCATATATACATATATTCGAATCTATAAATAATCATGTTGAACTTTTCAACATTCGTTTTTCACAGGTTTGTAATCAAATTTAAAATAAAAAGAAAAAAGACTTGAAATGTATTAGAGTTTCGTAAAACCTATTCCACATTCTTTTATTTATTTATATTTATAGAAACTTGCAACGGTTTCGACACGCGCAACGACAACTCTCCCAGATAAGCAACGACTCTCTCAGAGAGTCTCAGAGAGAGGCCCCTGCTTGAGCGTTATAAACAGAGCTTATTTGATATGTTTACATCAGTTTTAGTTCTGTTAAGTCAGCCGTAAGTTGATATAGATTTCCAATATATACATATGTACATCTTATATGTACATATATATACATATATAGCCAAAGGAAAGAAATAAATATACAAGTGATTTATACTAATCTGAAATGCAAAAGTCTAACTCTGATAACTAATTTCCTATTTCGACACATAACTTTCTTATGGATATATGTACATACATATGTATGTCTATATATGTAGATATGTATAGTATGTATTTTTGCATGGGTAAGCAGAAAAATAGCAAAGAGAATGATTCAATACTCATATCTAACTATAGAGCAATGAGAGCCTCTTCCCAATAGATGATAATTATGCATTCTCTGGCTAGTTCATTCATTTATTAATCGGCATTATAGCTTCCACATATATGGTTGCTCAGCTCGTTAGTTAGTTGTCAGTCTGGTAGGGACCGAAGGCACGCACATGCTCTCGTACGCGCACCGCATTGATTGCAATGAAGCCGCCCGCATCCTGCGGCACATAGCCGCCATGGACATCCATTGAGACGAGCTGCTGGTTATAGAGTGCGGCAACTGCATCGGCCGCCTTGCGGGCAATGGCACGACAGTAGCCTGGCGCCAGCTCCATGGTCACCTGGCCAGTGACCTGTTGCTGGGCCAGCTGTATGCAGCGTCGCACGTAGAGCGCCTCAGGACTGAACCAATAGCCATTGTATACATAGTCGGACATGCGATCGCGTAACAGTTGCTTGGTGCGCAGCACTTCGCGATCCAGGGCGAACACCTCCAAGTCCTGATGCGCTGCGTAGAGTATGGTGCCGCCTGGGGTCTCATAGACGCCCCGGGACTTGAGCCCCACATAACGGTTTTCCACAATGTCAATGCGTCCAATGCCATAGCTGCCGCCCAGCTCATTCAGATACTTGAGCATCTCCAGAGGCGTGCTGTACACTCGACTATTGGCCAGATCCTCGACTCTTGTGGGTAGTCCATGCTCAAAGTGAACGCAGACACGATGAGGCGTCTTTGGTGCCTGTGTGAAGGGATCGAGAGTCAGCTCGTAGAGGCTGCTGGGTGCCACCGTGTTCGGATCCTCGAGCACGCCCGACTCGTAGCTAATGTGCAGCATGTTCGCATCCGTGCTCCAGGGTGTCGCCGGCTTTGCTGTCACCTCGATTCCATGGAGCTGGGCATAGGCAATCAGATCCTGCCTGCCCTGAAACTGGCGACAGAACTCCACATCGCGCCACGGTGCAATAATCTACATCGGCGAAATGAAAATCAGCTAGTTGCTATCCACACACACACACACACACTCCATCATAGTCACCTTCAAGTCAGGCTGCAGTGCATATGCGCACAGCTCGAAGCGCACCTGATCGTTACCCTTGCCGGTGGCGCCGTGAGCCAAGTACTTGGCGCCATGCCGCCTGGCGGCCTCTATCAGGGCGACACTAATGCAAGGTCGCGCCAACGAGGTGCCCAGCAGATAACGCTCTTCGTAGATAAGGCCCATTTGGATGGCCGGCCATATGTATTGCTCGGCGAATTGCCGTTTGATATCAGCCACGATTACCTGCAACATTGTATGTCGTCTGGCGATTAGAAGCAATCGACGCTGATTAGCACGCTAACCCACCTCCTTGGCTCCGATTTTGAGCGCCTTCTGGCGAGCTGCCTCAAAGTTCTCCTGCTGGCCAACATCGGCCAGCACGCAGATGACCTCATAGCGCTGCTCCAGCAGCCATTTGAGTATGCAGCTCGTATCCAGGCCACCCGAATAGGCCAAAATAACTTTCTCCACCACCATTTCGAAACAGTCCGCACAGCTCAGCGCTCGTTTGCCAATTGGAATACGAGAAAACACAAAGCTAAGCCACTTAGGCTGTGCTTCCTATCAGCGGCACACCTCCTCCACCCTCCCGCAGCTCCCATGCCTCTCCGTACGGTCTGATAACAATAACAGATTGTTATGAAGTACGTTAGTATATTATTACAGATTAGTCTCGCTCTCTCTTTGCGCTAAACATCCATTAGTTTCAGGTAAACAAACGGTACAAAACGGCGTTTGAGAATTATGTGATAATTCTTTTCGGATTAAAAATTATCAAAAGATCTCTGCCATACAATATTCACTTTAACCCATTTCAACTAATTTAAAATTAATTATGTTCACATTATTCTAATAGCAAATGGAATTCATATAAAATAAATGAAAAATATACGACAAATTGCAAATATATTTAACAAATTACTTCTAGTGAATTTCTTATAGACATGTATTCATTTTCTGATCTTTTTTTACTTGGATACCAGTAGACTAGTATTTCTTTTAAGTATTTGCTCTAAACATTTCTTCTACCTAATTCGTCCAAGTACTTCCACCAAGAATTTCTTATAAGAATTTCCTCTACGTATTTTCTCCAAGTATAAAGCTCAGCTGAACGATTATTAAATATTTAGACACACTTCAAGGTCTGGTACGACTGAAGAAATGCCGCAATCTTTCATATAGTGCGGCTTCCACTCATACACTAAGCCGCGTTCAAATGTTGAGCTCGGCCCCAGGTAGGGGTCGTTGTAGTCGTGAATGGGAACACTCTCTGCTGCTTCGATCTTCGTTCGTTGATAGGGAGGTTAGGGGACAGACAGAGAGACAGATATACAGACATACATACATACATACTAACAGAGATATGTCCATACTCAAATGTATGTATATGGGTACACAATTAAATCGGTTTATCTCATTTCGTTGCTCAAGAATCGATGTACATATGTATGTGCTTAATGGGGCTTAATCTTGATATGCTAAATATCCTATGTACATTAATAGTTATAATTATATTCGTACTAGGACTTCTGCAGTCTGGCTCAACTTCCGGCTCAATTTCAATGGATTCATTATCAATAATCTGGTAACACTGATTGCTAAGCATAAAAACATTTGGTTTATTTAAAGTACTACTCACATGGTCACACTTCATTATAGACTATATATTCTGGCAGAAAACATTCAATTCACATTGGGGAACTACTAAAATAAGTTTCGAGTCTAAGCTTTGAACTTGAATATCAACATGTCTTTAGGTAAGCTGAAAAATTAGCTGATTTTTCCATTAAATAATTTCATTAATGTTCATATACAGACTCTTCTCAGTTTTGGCCGGAGCTTTTGAAAAAAGTTCAAATCGCCGATGAAATACAGACTAAAGTAAATGACATTGCAGCGGAATTGGAAGCATTTCTAAAAGAAAAATTGACTCGGAAAATTCGCGTTTATCCGTTTGGCTCGCGTGTCTTGGGCATTGCTCAGGAAACATCCGATTTGGACATTTACGTGGAATTTGGTTAGCATTCAATACCCATACATATGTACATACATATGTTCATACCTAGTTATGTAGATGCCTGCCTATTCTACAACTCTTCGTTGAATGTTGAGAGTATTCATACATACATATACAAATGGCAATACATGTTCATGCACATCATCTTGAAATAGAGTTTTATGTTTTGCTCAGCGAATTATCGTAAAATGTAAAGATAACCAATAATAGCTTACATTTGGACTATAATGTGATAAGAATGTTTCAAACAGTTCGATATCAGCTTGACAATATATTATACCCTGAGCAATGCAAATAGGAACTCAATTCGTCGTTAGTCGTTAGAGGTTATCAATATGTTATTCAGTTTAAGAGCTACATCCTAAAGCAATGAAAACCTACGAGTAGTTTCCCAGATCTCAAACAAATTACAATTAAGTTAACGGTTGGTTTCCAAATGTATACATTGCTGCTGTACGGAGGCGCTATTACGATACTCTAAATATTTGGGCAGAACTTTTAGATATCATCAGTATACCAATTCCATTCATAATTAAGTAGAGAAGAGCTTCATTTTTATACAGGTTGTTTCCAACTGGATCAGTCCCACTCGTTATTTTAATCATCTTACATACATATGTATTTAGACGACAGCTTCTACGAATACTATGAGAGGCATCCCACTTGGAAGGACCGCAAAAGACAGGAACTGATTTCAAGAGTGTTTAAGTCACCATCGAAATGGATACACCTTCAAAATCGCAGCGGCCAATGTCCCCTAGTCGTCATTAAAAATAAACACACGAACTTACAGTACGACTTAAGTGTCAGTAACTGCTACCCCTACAGCCAGAACAAAGTAGTCGTATATCTATTCAAACTGCAGCCAATTGGTAAGTAATTTCTAATCGTCGTCTACTGTTTTTTATACGTATTAATATGTATGTGCTTGCAGCTCGTTATATGATCATCTATTTGCGAGGTTGGATAAAAATGCATGGATTGCATGAGGAATTCCGTAGTCATATACTTCTTTTGATGGTCATATTCCATTTGCAAATTCGAAAAGAGCTTCCATCCATCCATAAATTGCAGGCAGATCTAAGCCCAAGGAGTGGACGTATGCAACAATAAAAATATTAATAATGTTGACAACAATTCTTCAATTAATTAATAACTTTCAGCTTACATTTATCATTTCAACGAATTGGACCGGAACGAAATGCCATACGCAATACCTCTTACGGAGTATAATACACGCGAAAAACTTAAGGAGTTTTTCAAATTCTACGCCGGCTTTCAGTTTGAAGGATATGCCATTTGTCCCTATTGGGGCGAGTATATAAGGCGATCGGAGCTCTGCTCATCCATGCCGAAAAGGTAGTTTGAGCATTAAATTCTCTTCGATGATTCCTAATATTTTCATATATTATTCTTTGCCAGATGCCAGATAATCCATTGGGGTAATAAGTTTACCCGATTTTCCGTGGCCATCCAAGATTTCATTAATCTTAACCAGAATAAAGCATGTCTAATCCGCGATGAGCACTTATCGAAATTCAAGCTCATATGCGCTTCGAAGGCGTATGAATGATCTGAGAACAAATCAAATGAAATACTCAACGCAAGTGAACATTCTTTTGAAATAAAAATATAATTCTGATTTAAAGAACTTGAACTAGGCCCCACTTATTTATATTGCGCACTTGAACTGCCGATTTGCGGCGCTGTCACTCCGAATATGAAGCATTCAATGTAATTGAAATCGTCGTCCCCATCGTGGCATTGGCCATGGACCATCAGGACGCATGCCTCGCTGCACAAATTGATTTTCAATTGAAAATGGGGGCAGTTAATGAACGAATTTCATTAATTAATCAATGTTATTCAAATAAATTTGAATCTAATTAGGGAGACGCGCGAATATAAAAGGATACTCCACAAAGCCGTTGGCCAGCAGTCGCTGATACCCTGGCCCAGGCTAAGCATTGATAATGCCCCACTCGCAGCTGATTCACCATGAGCTGGATAGACTCCGTCTGCTGCTTGGCCTGAGCATCATATTTGTAATTTGCCAACAAAGTGCCACCTTGTAAGTACCGGTAACAGATCCATTCGCCGTCAGTTATTGTTGTAAAAACCAACTTGGTCTGCCTCCAACAGCGGCTACGTCAATTCGGACATATGCACCTCGATCATTGAGTCCGATATCTGCCCAGAGAGTTACCATCGCAAGCGGGATGGGCTCTGCATCAAGTCTCTGTGCTACCTCAAAGTGAACGACGACTGCTACCCACAGGACAGCGAGGCCAGATGTGCGAGGTCTCTGTCGTGCATCTGCAACCGATGCACGAACTGCAGCGACTACAACCACGCCTGGAAGTGCCTGAGAGCCAGGTGTGAGGACTATAACCTGAAGAAGCGCATTCCGACCCGTTTCCTGCCTTGGCTCAATCGCGCTCGCTGGCAGAACTTGTCGAAGCGACTCATTGAGCCCAATTATGAATACTGAATGTCGACTCTAGGATGAATTGCCAAATACTCGAATAATCGGAACGAACCCGCACTTCATACATAAACACGTAAATGCATACCTTAAACATATTTAAACGAAAATAAAAATTTTAGCAAATAAAGTGACCATTTTTGCCATTAGGCAACCCTTGAAATTGTGCGCGCTACCTAAGTGTCAGCAATGGCTTGTAATTCCCAACTGTTAATTCGCCAGCGTGACAGTATAAATATGAGTTTTATTGAGGAGAACTTCGTTCTTGCTTCGGCAGAACATATACTAAAATTGGAACGATACAGAGAAGATTAGCATGGCCCCTGCGCAAGGATGACACGCAAAATCGTGAAGCGTTCCACATTTTTTTGTGTATTTTAATAGTGGGATGAATCTATACTTTCTCAAAATTATATAAAACAAAATTTATGGTGTACATACGCTAATAATATTTAATAATTGAATTTTCACACTGGCCGCTAACAAATGTCCACAGAAAAGTAAAATTTAAAATCTACAATCAGCTTTCAACTTTACGAAGCGGTTGCGGCTTCGTAATTATGAATTTCAATTAATATTGTAATTATGGTTGTTGTTAATAGTTATTACCACCTGCTCACAGATGGCGCTATAATTCAATTCGAATCAGAAAATGAAGTTAACGTTTTTAGCGAAGCGGATACTCCTATAAACCTCGTGCAATAGATGGCGCTTTAAAATTCCAGTTAGATATTCCGACTGCAAACCAATCAAGTACCTAACGATGCGCTGCTCAGCTACCAACTCTGTGCAACAGATGGCGCCACAATATAGGCGGGCAGTATTTTTAGTACGTTTAAATTCAAATTAACCTTGCTTTAATTCACGTGCAAACACGGCACAACAGCCTTCGTTTGTTAAGATGTCCAATGTATCGAATCGGATTCAAATATTTATTGAAATATTTGCCTATTACATTTTGGACTGCGAAACACGTATGAAAGAAACCCTAAGGTATTCAGCGCCATGAACTTGACTCTGCGTACGCGACAATAAATAATGAAATAAATGCCAAACGGCCGCACGATGTTGCCTAATTAAATTCAGCTCGGCCACTGCAAGACAAATGGGCACACATACGGCTTACGAACATAAACTGGGTTTGCCTCAAAGTAAATAAGGAAATTAAATGACAATTACCAAAGAGCGTGCGAGTATGTGTGCGTATATGAGCTTTGCAGCCTATTCGGCCGGGCTCTCCGAGTCGCCCAGTCTTAGCGGCATTTCCACTCACATATTTGGCTGGCCTGCAAAATTTGAAGTCAGTTGCCAGTTGACGCTCGCATGATTCACACGCAGAAAAGAAAAAAAAAAACAAAAGAAAAATATTAAGCAAATGTATTTATAAAATATAAAAGGCATCGTGAATTCGGAACAGTTAACTGTAAACCTGAGTGCGGGCGTTGCATACGGAACGAAAAGTTGAATTTTTGATTTTCACTCTAACCCAAATATCAGGAAGCACATTTGTGGTCAACTAGTTGATGTGCCAAAATAGCGTCACAAATCAAAATAAACGAGCAATAAACAACGCAAAGTAAATATCTGTTAGAGCTGCAGCAGGTGGGTGACGCTCAAACTGTGGCTTGCTTGCCTCACTCAACGAGTTGCGCTATTTCAAGTGGCAAAAGAAATTACACAATTTGCAACTAAAACTAACAACAACAGCAACAACTAACTGACTGACTAACTTTCAGCTGTTGGCTGGCTTTGGTCAGCTGAAGCTTGCCCAGAGCCGGCAGCAATCCAAAGCTGCACAATTCACAATTTACCGCATGTTATTGTTGTTGTTTTTACATATATATATATAGTTGATGTTGCATGTCAATAGAGGTGGCCAGGTCTAAAAAGCTTAGCTTACGGCCAAACATAGAGCTGTATATTGTCCAATCTTGCAGTACGCCCGCAAGTTTGTGTCTTGTACAAGTCATTTGTTTACACTAAATGCCTCTCTGCGCTCCAGCGCCCGTTAATGACAACCTAAAAAAATGAATCAAAGTAAAATCCATAAACAACAATAATAAAAGCAAAACCAACAGCAGTGGCTCTGCACTTCAACAAAAAGAGGTCAAGTGCAGCGGAAATTATAATACAAGAAAGAAACGAACACAAAAAAAAAAAACAAAAAAAACCAAACCCTGATGAGCACCTGAAATAAAAAGTTGTACCTTAAATTGAGTTAACTAAGTGCTTCTGTTTGTGCACTCCGACATGGCCCTGAGAATCGTGATAGCTCCGTCAAGCATTGACAGGCCCGCAGATAAGAAATCTATACAAAGGCAGAAACCAGTTCAAACTGCGGACGGCTGCAATTGTAAAGCACTAAAAGCCGTTTAAATCGCAATTAAATACGTAGTTCAAGTAAATATTGCGGCATAAAAAGCAGAGGCCATTGACAGTGGATTTTAATCATATATATTAAAATATAGTGATCCACAAAGACAATTTAGTTTTCCAAAAACTATTTTAGATACCCATTTTTTGATATCCTTATTACTTAAACTCAAATATCTATGAATGAACTCAGCATGGAAACAGCCCTCGCTCTGCGTGACTAGATTTCATTATGCTCTGCAAGGTTTTTGTAAACGATGTTGGGAATTACCTCGAAAAGACAACTATTAAGACGCAGCATGGCTCTTAAGATTCAAGCACAAAATGAACTTCCAAATTTCAAACAGCAACAGTCAAAACAGTTCACGCCAGCACAGTAGTTGGAAAATTAATTTTTAAGAAGCTGTTTTATAAATAAATATAAAATACTCCATAGTGAACATAAACGAATTTAGAATCTGCCTTCAAGTATTATAGGCTTCTAAATAAATACCTGAAAAGAAGTTTAATCTTTTGAAATTCAACCTAACAGTAGCTCAGTGCAACTAAAACTGTAATTAAGCCAAGACAAATTTAAATATTCAATAATAGACATTTTGAATGTCAACTCTGTTTGCGCTTCGCACCTGCTTAAGACTATAAGCAAAACATACAAATATTTCATTCACACTTACATGTATTCTCATTTTCGTTGGTGTTCAACAGGGCGCGGGGCAGAGCAAACAGCAAAATGTCGCAACAGTTGCTTTCAAACTGTAACGGTCACTGTTTAGCAGTTACTTTCTTTGTATTTGTTATTATGGCGGCGTTTGTGGGCAAAACCAGTGCATCCAGTCAAATAGACGTGGACGAAGATCTGAAGCACTTGATCGGCCGCTGTCACAGAGATGAAGCGAATCTGGACGCGTACAACGATTGCATGAAACAGGTGTTCAACGATCTGCGCGCTTATTTCACAACAGGTGAGCCACAATTATGAAGAGTTCAAGTGGAAGTGGAAGCGAGTTAACAAAATGTGCCGCCCCTCTTCATGCAACCAGGTGTGCCCGGCTACAATATTCAGCCCTTTGATCCGCATCACTCGTCGTTTGTCGAATTGCGTCGCGGCGATCCGCATGGCCCGGGCAGCTTAAAGCTGATCTTGCGCAACGTCTCGGAATACGGCTGGTCGCGCTCCGAGGTGACGAAATTTCACAGTGATCCCAAAGATCAGCGCATCGTCTATGCGCAATACTTTCCCGAGAAGAGTCTTGAGGGTGAGTACGAGTTCCTCGCCAAAATACTGGGCACCGAGCTGCGACGACAGGGTCACTGGAATCTGACGCTCTACGACTACAGGTGCGCTGTCTGAACATTATATATTTCTATCCCAATCTGATTCTCACACTGCTTTTCACAGTCAAACGACGAGCGTGCGACGCGTGGGCGAGCCGGGCTCACTGCTCAAGGTCCATGTCGAGGTCGATCACATTGGCCGCATGGAGTTGCATATAGGGAATCTGTTGCAGGGACAACCATTGAATCAGCTGGCCGACGGCGTGATCAACAGCATGTGGCAGCTGGGCCTGCCATTCGTGCGACCGATGATCAATGAGCTGGTGAGCACGGCATTCACGGATATATTCAATGAATCCTTCCGTTACTTTCCGCTCGAAAAATTTCTTAGCTAGTTTATCAAAGATTTATATATTTGTGTTAGTGTGTGTGCGTAGATTTAATAAAAGTTGAGGTTGTGCATTAACTAAACATCCGCCAAGCTACTGGCTATTTCATTATCCTGCTGCGCCTTCTTGGGCGGCATCAGCGTCGACAGCGCCAGGCTGCGCGCAAATATGCTGCCAAGCGATATGACAACGTAGCTGGAGCATTGGAATTGCTGTTCCACAGTGTCATAAAGCAATTGATACGCCTGCTCCAGTTCAGGCGTTAGAGTAGCTACACAGGCAGAGAGAAAGAGAGAGAAAGAGACAAACAGTTAGTCTTAGTTTAAAGCGAATCTCATTGTTGCACTCACGTTTCTGATGCAGCTGCTGCTTGTTGAGGTCAAATATGAAACGCAGGTAGCACAGCTGATTGTAGAGATCGCGCTCAGAGTATTGCCGCAGCATGGCACCACTGTTGCATTTGAGGCACAGCGGTCGACGCAGTTCGAGCCGCAACGAATAGGTTCTTGTATTATAGTTGCAATCAGGATGATCGCAGACCAGCCAACTGCGATAGAAGCGCTGCACATAGCCTCGCATGCACAGCTGCAGCTGGTTGCGTATGCTAACCAAATATTGCAAGGGCGATGTCTGGCACTCGGCATTGACGCACTGCTGCAGCACCGGCACATGGCTGCTGTTGGGGCCCGGCCGATAGGCGCTGGCCATAAGCTGTTCCGTCTTACAGCTAACGCACTTGAAGCGAAAGGGTTCGCAGAGGCGATAAAGCTGCAACGTGGTCTTCTGCAGCGACTCACCCTCGGCTTCTTCCGTACGCTCCCGCTGAACGCTGTGTGAGAGCAGAGGATTCTCGTAAGTGAAGTAAGAAACCACAAGTTGGGAGGCTACACTTACCGCTGCGCATTCTGTCTGTATTTACTGGAATCCATGCCCAGGCACTCGGCAATGCGACTTGCATCGGTGCCCTCGAGCACCTCCACCATGCGTGTGACCACCGGATGTATCTGATTGCCTAGATAGTAGTTCGTGTCGAGCTTCAGGGTTTCGCTGCTTTTCAGCTCGTCCAGATGATAGGCACGCTGCATGGCTGCATTTGTAGTGCCATCCAAACAGATCACATAGTCGACCATGTCGCCCTTTTTATAGCGTCGATTCCTTTCTCGATTCATGCGTAACGCCACCTGAACATGGGGCAGGGAGGCGCTGTTGGCATACTCCTGCGGCGCACGTGTCAATTGCTTTGTGATCACGTACAGCGGAAGCGGCACAGCGGACTCTGCTATTTGGTCCTTGATGCGGCCCAGTTGGGCATGCACAGCATCAAGTTTATCCTCCAGAGGCTTCTCGGAGAGTACTTCATCCAGCACTGCCTTGCCGACCATCACGGCCAGCTGGGACCAATCGCGACGCACTATATCTAAGCCCTTGTGCTCCTGTTCACGTATCAGCACGCCTTTGGCGTTCTTGGTCAGCTTGACGGCTGCATACTTCTTCTTTTTGAGTAACAGCAAACAGGCGAAGACACCATCAATGTCCAGTTCGAGTTGCTTGTACAGCTTATTCACGCTCTGTTTGATAGTGTGTCCGATCTTGTAGACTTGATCATAGTCCGTTATGTTCGTATTGATCATCAGCGAATCCGTGTCGCCATAGACCACATCATAGTTGAGCTTCTGCACCAATTGCTGCGTGTTAACCAAGATCTCGCGTCCCTTGTGCGTCACTAGAGCTGCCAAGTGCTGTGCAAAGAAACGTGAATGCGCGAATCCCAGACAGCCGTACATAGAATTCGCAGTCAGCTTGAGTGCCATCTGTCGTATATGATATTGCATGTGCAGCTCCGGCGATAGGTCTGGCACAGCCATTAGCTTTTTAACCTGGCGACGAGATTCCACCAAGCGGCGCAGCTGCGTTGGTAAAATGCCTGGCTCTGCACTGGAGTCGGGCAGCACAGGCAGCTGGTCCGCGTCGTGCGGCTGCTGTACCGTGGTGAAGCAAATATTATACTCCTGTATGATGCTCGGATACAGGGAATTGAAATCCATGAGCAGCACATATTTTTCATAAAGTCCACGCAAAGGTTCCAGCACCAAGCCACCCGCATACGCAGCCTTCTTACGAGCTGCTCCACTGCCCGCAGCCACCGTTGTGTCATTACCCGTCGTGGCATCGGGATCAGTTTGAGTGTTGGCTACGGCGCCACGCCTTTGTGGCAGCTTATCGGGTACAATGTAGTTCTTCTCATGAAAGGCATGAAGCAGCAGAAACTCATTGCGTTCGGACCGCCCGCCCTGAAGTGTGCGCGTCATTGTGTTGCCGCAAATGTTGGTTATCTGCAGTGCCAATGGCATGATATTCAGCTCGCACATGAGACGCAGCATGTAGGATGCGTCCTGCATGGTTAACGAGATGAGCTTGGTAATGTTTTCGCCTGATAAGATAAGGTGATAAGAGGTATGAATTACACTCGTGACAATAATAATTTTAACTGCCTTACCTTTCTCATACATCTCCAGCAGATCGTCCGCATTGACGTCCATACGCTCCGACTCCTGCAGCTTGAGTACCTGCTGGCACAGTGTCTGCAGATCGTAGGATCTGGCTCTTATGCACTCCTCCGCCGAACGTTTGACATCGCAAACCATGCGACCCACAAAGTGATCCAAAAGACGTTTACCGAAGGTTTGTGTGAAACGTAGACGTCCCATGCGCGACCACTGAGGTATCTTCAGGGCCACAATCTGATCCGTTATGACATTCAACTGGCAATCCATCGCGTCAAATGTGACTATAAGATCTGCATCGATTTGCTGATACTGCGCCAGAAACCAGCTAAGAAGCGCACGCTCAGAGTCGTGTTTATAGATCTTTGTGGACTTGTACTTGGTTAGCTGTAAATTCAAATCAAGAGGCCAGGTGGAGACAGCGGGTCGGGTAAGGGCGCACATGTGACGGTTGAAGGCAGGCTGCGGCGCCGGCTTGTCTATATAAAAGCGATTGTGGGTGAGCATCGAAATCATGCAGATCTCGTTCTTGAGTGTCTTCGGATTCATGGATGTGCGCACGTTGAGTGTGAGCAGAGTTATAGGAGGCGGAGGTGTTGGTTTTCCCTGCTCAAGCACGAGCTCCACGTTTTTCGGCTCAGTGATCGTCACATCGGTTTTACACCAGCTGATGGGCGCTGGATTTATATTGAAGCCACTAATCTGCAGCCAGCAAGGACCTTTGATCTTGCGATCCAGGAGAAAGCGCTCCAGCGCATTGGTGTTGGCGCCAAATATGTGCGCTATGGAATCGTATTTCTTATTTAATACATTCGGCGCCGGCTTCTTGCCATCGTAATGAACCTCTAGGTAGTCGCAGGTTTGCGGCACATCGATGCCTATGGCATGGTTGGCAAAGTTCTTGCTAACCTTTCGGGAACGGAACGTATCAAGCTTCAGTTCGGTGGCGATGTGCGTATCGAACTCCTTGTACATGTCGGCAGCTGTGACCTTTTGCTTGGTGGGCTCCTTTGTAATGGGATCTAGTAGCTGAAGTTGGAAGACGTTAATCATAGTTTGCAGCCCCCGACATTAGTTTAATACTCACATATTGCCTGGGCAAAAGATAGAGCACACGATTGATATTCTGAACACGAACACATATCGACTTGCCGTCTGCCGTTCGACCAAAGAGAAAAACTTCGCCGGGCAGCTTTTGTGCATCTTCCCAAGCTTCCCAGTACCAAAATCGCAGTTGCTCGACGTCAACTGGATCACTGCCTGCGGCTGCCTCTGCTTCACTGGCTAACACCGATTTCTCGAAGTCATCATCCATTTGACATATCGACTCCCAGTTGTTAAGCAGCTTGTTCATGTCCTCTGCTTCTGGTTTGGCAGTGGCATTTGCAACTGCTGCAGTCATGTCCGTAGGCTCTGGTTTGACAGCGGGCTTGACCTTCGATGCAGCCAACTCAAACTGGTTCTCATCGTCATCTAAGCAACTGAAGTCCAAGTCATTGTCGTTAGGCTCAGGCGTAGCTTCTTTCCTTGCCTTCTTTTTGGGCTGTTCAGTTGTGTCCTCCTGCTTCACTTTGACTAGAGCCGACGCTGTAATTGTCGTTGCCTTCTTGTTGGGCTGAATTGTTGCTTTTGGCTGCAGTATGCGATCAAGCATTTCGTCATCATTACTGGCTTCTTTTTTACGCTGCTGCTCTTGCATTTTGATGTTGCTAAGGAAACTATTCATGTACTCTTTGGCCGCAAGTGCATCGGATTTGCGGGCAGCTGCAACAATTTTAGCTGGCGCAATTACTTTTTGTTGCTGCGATGCAGATGAGTCGCCGGTAGGCTCTTCCTTAATTTCCCCCAATATATCTGCCAGAATATCGTCATCCTTGACACTATTTTTGATGTCCGCCTTCTTTGGTATCGCATTGCTGAAGAGATTTCGGATAGACGCCTTTCCTTTGGCTGGGCCCGTGTCGTCGCGTGGCCGCTTCTTTGCATTGCCCGTTTTCTTTTTCTTGTTATCACTTCGACCGCGTTCTTCCTCATCAGAGTAGTCATCCTCATCTTCAAAGAAATCACGACCATCCTCTGCGTAGCCAGTGCCGTCTGTGGACGAAAATCATATTGGACTGAAAGGTTTTTTCATTGCCATTCGCTTGAAATTCTACTCACCATCTTCAATCCAATCGCCGCCGTATTTCTCATTTGCTCGCTTCGCATACTCCCTCTCGTCCACCACTTCGTAAACATCGTCCACTTTTTCTTCCACTTGGCATTTGTTTTTGGTGCCTTTCAAACCTTTGAGGCGCTCCAAAGCTGCGAAACGACCGGATTTGTCTATGCGTTGTCGCTTGACACGCGGTGCAGCTGTTTGGACAATTTTATTATAAACATGTCGAGCAATAATATTTTATTACTTACTGGGTGAATCTGCCATTTGGAGCACTGCAAGTTTCTTTATATGTTTTAATTTGCGCAGCCAGTGATTATTTCACAAAAGGCGGGAAAACATCAGTGTGTACACATTGAAGCGCGTATGTAAACTCTTTGAGCGCTAGTGTTGCCAGAAAGTTAGATAAACACTTAACAGAATTGCTCCGCCAGTTAACATTCGCTCCGCACACAATGCTTGAGCATTGCTCCGCCAGTTAACATTGGCTCCACATACAATGCTTGAGCTCACTGTTAAGAAGCTCAATCGTGGCTTGAGGTTCAAGTCTTGAGCTATGTGAGTGTACAGCTGTGATTACTGTTAAGAGACACAGTGTCCGGCTAACAGTATAGCTAACAGAAAACTTTGCTAATTATGCTTGTACGATACATCTGTTAATACGTATCGACAGCAAAGTTCCCAAAACCGCTCTTCTTCCCTTAGAATTCTATCTCATTTTCTTTCACAGCGAACAAACTATTATAACTGTCAGCAATTCAATGTGCTTGATGGCCCACAGATGCGAATCTACTTAACAGAATGAACTTATCCTAACATGTCTGTTAAATGAACTATTCCATGTCTAATGCATGCGGCTCGCCAAGCGCGCCAAAGTTTAAAAACAAAAATACAGGCCCCTTCTACTCATTTAATAAAAGTTGTTGATTTGTTGTTCTCTCGTTTTTATTCGATCATCCATAATATTAGCTTAAATTAATGTGTTTAATCATAGATTTAGAATACAATATACAGCAATTGTGTTTATATTTCGTGTACATAGAAGGCAGTTACATACATAAGCATAATTATCTTTCAGTTTACTCTTATATCGTGTTTTCTACAATACATATGTAAAGTTCTGGTATATTTACAAATACACTCAAGCAGACTTACATATTACACATATAAACGCCACATATACATTTATGACTGCAAAAATTCATACATATTTACAATTCGATAGAAAATATTAGAATTTTTGTGTATAGTCATCAATTAAGGATTGTGATTACAATTTACTATTGCCAAGAAATACAAAGATGGGGAAAATACTGGTAAGGATTTAGGAAAATAAAGGTGTGAATAGTGAAATACATAGTGAAAGGAACTGTGAAATCGAAAAGAACGTCAGTCTTCCAGGAAAAGTGTTTAAAACATTGACAGAGAGAGGAAGTTGGTGCAATTGATGATTGATTTAAGGATTGTGCTGGATATTCAAATTTAAGATGGTTGTAGGGTCTTTGAGGTATTTTCAGCTATGGAGCATACATATATTGGTACATATTTCATAACAGATTCAAGCCAAAGACATGGCACAAACATAAATCTAACTTAAGGAATATTTTCTCCAAGTCTGCCAGATGTCGATCCATAGTAATGCTAAACATTTAATAACAGCAACAAAACAACAATAATGGTTAACAATGCAAGACACGTGCCACCTGCAATTAAAGGGTAAACAAACAATTAGCAAAATATTTACTATTTAGCGCTCATATTTGTGCTTACCTAGCCATATAGTGCCTGCGTCCCCAACACGCAACTGCCGGGTTCAGTGTTGGAAAATCACACCACCTGCACCGTGGCGAAGGCGCTGAAGGTGACCTTCTTGGGAAACTCGGGACCCGGCGAGCCTCGCGTCTTAATCACAGGCTTCAGCGGCTGGCGTGGCTTCAGTGACAACAATCCAGCGGAGGCGGCCAACTCACGTAGTCGCTGGGAAAAGCCGCTGCCGCTGGAATTGCTGCCGGTTGCTGTTCCTGTTGCTCCACTATGGTGCTCCAGGCCGGCGCAGTCGAGGACATCGAGTCCGTTGTTGGAGCGGTACACCTGTGCCGTGGCTGTTGGATAAACCGCCAGACTTGTGCCGCCCGTTGAGCTGCAGTTTGGGCTTACGGCTTGTGTTGTTGTTGTTGCTGCGGCGGCTGGCGTAATGTACCTGCAGTGAGAAAAAGTGTGGAGAGTGCGGAAAATTGGATTAGTCAGCGAATTGCGCTAATTGATTTATTTTTTATTTGCCAAAAACTTGGTGGGTGTGAACAGCGTTCACAAACAACGCAACCAATAATAATGCCCGGCTAAAAGATGAGTCGCACTCAACTGCGAACTGGCCACCGAATCGTCCCAAAAACTTGCCTTACCCACCACACGCAAAAATAAATTAACCACCTAGCAACAAGGCGAGCTCTTGCAGCTGGAAAGTAAGCCTTGTTAATAGATCTCGGCTATTGTGAATATTTAATGTACAACTAATTTAAACAGCATCCACGAAGCGTGCTGTTTATTTTCATATACCAATGCAATTTTCAATGCTGTGTCGACCTTATAGATGCTAATTAATTTGTTTATGCGACTCGCAGCTCTGGCAATCGATCTTCGACAGCTGCTGAGCTACTTTTGGTCCACCAAAAGATATCCACAAATATACATATGTATATATACATATATTTCTTCTTTGAGACTTTTTCTCTTTTATTTGTATTTATTTTTATTTTATTTTTTATATATGTATGAACTCACGCAATACAACAATAAAAGATGCAAATGAGTTCAAGATGCGCAACGGCCGTTGGTCAAAGTTAATTGTTTATTCGCTGCTCAAATTGTTTACCCAAAAATGCTTAAATAACGATGTTGTGATAAGCGTGAAGCGACAACAAGTCTTGTCAGCTAGTCTTCAGCAAAGCCGATTAGGATTAGACACATACATATCTATGTATGTATGTATGCTCTAAATAGTTAGCTTAGCTTTCAGTTGACTCCACACATGTCTGTGAAGAGTTAAAGTTAAATCGGAAGTATATGAGAGTAATATAAACCAAAGCTCATGGAATTTAGGGGAGTCCCAACCAACCCTAAGCTGGCTTTCTACTAATGCAAATAATTAGTTTTAAAATGCAAATATGTTTTCAATTTCAATTTCCTCTTTTATTCGTGTGCATGCAAATGAAAAATAATGAAACAAATATTTTGTAATAGTTGCAATTGCAAATGCAATTTGAAATATATTTTTTTTTTAATTTAATTTTATTTTTTTTTTTTGGGCAGCATTGCCTCATAAACTTGAAGCATAATTAGCATAGGCTGCTTCATACTGGACTTCCTCATGATGTCAACAGTTTTTAATGTCGATTCGCTTCTATATATAACATTGCTGTTGTTGTTGCTGTGGCCAAGCAATTGGCATTCACCAAGCGTTGAGCGACAGGCGCTTAATGCATAAATAAATTAAAAATAAACCGTGTTAAATGAGTTTTTATTTTCATTACGTATATTTTTTTCCACAGTTTTTCGAGCTGTTGCTGAACTTCAAAGTGCAGCACTTGCTTTTGGATTTCGGCACAATACAGCGATTTGGGGGGCGATCTTTAATTAAGTGGACCTATAACTCCACGGTTCAGCTCAATGGATGAGCTATGTGGTCGAAAGTCAATGCTCACAATGTTTTACTACAATTAAATTGAACTGGTGCGCTGGCCACTCAATCGTAATGCTGTCCATAAGACTCAGTGAGTGCCCAACAATGCGCATTTGGATTGTATTCGTTATTATTATTTTTGGATTCTCTTGAATGGCAGCGCCGTGTGAATTCGTTTGTACATTATCAAAGGCATTGTTGTTGCCCTGTTGCATTGTCTCGTTGCGGTTTATGTATATATAATTAAGCACTATCAGCCGCGTATGGAAAACAGTTGGCAGATGGGAGCATACCTTTGAGCTGCATACAATATAAATGCCTTTTTTGCTTTTGTAGCTCTTTTTTGTTTGTTTGTTTGTTTTTGGCATTGAACTTTGCTTTGACTTTGAGTTTTGTGCTTTTGAAAGTGTTTCTATTTATTTTTCAAGACAAAAAAATCGTAATTAATTATAATATTATAAACATCTTCATATTGTTTGGCCCGATGCGTGTGCATGCATGTGTGTTGTGAGAAAATTCATTTTTTACATGTACATTTTTTCACACAATTTGCGCTCTTCACGTGATATTTAGAGCGATATCAGCGAAAGTTTGATCTCTATAAGCAGCAAAGGGTATTCGCCAATTAAAGTGTGTGAAACTTGAAATAGGCCGCGCCTAACTAAACTTTGTTTAGGCTAAATAAAATAAGATTTATTTGAATGTATTAAAAAACCATATAACTTTTTTCCCGTTTCCTCTCGCTGAGGTCATCTTCAGTTCACCCATATTCTAGTTACGAAAAATTATAGCACATCATCGTTAAGTTAATGAAAAGCTCTTGCTAATTTTGACCCAATTCTCAGTGTCTGTCATAGCTTGTTTGCCTAAACGTCGCGTTTAACTTTTCTGGCTATAAATCATAGTCAAGTTTGTTGCCCAAGTCTTTTGTTTGCTGCTGTCGCTTTTCAAGTTCATAAATTTAAAATCGACCCTGCGCGAAATTGACTTATTTTAAAGCTAGGCCAACTCCTTCGCCGCTAAGAAATTAATACACGAATGCCTATGCTGTAAACTTATCTGTAGTCTGTCGCTGTATATACAAATATTTATGCATGTATTGTGTCACGAATTTCTGTTTGTTTGGCTTATTAAGTCGTCAACGAAAAATTTGACAAATTGCCTTACAAGTGCCGCGCAGCGACGTCCACAGCCAGTTTGTTGCCCAAGTCTTTTGTTTACCCATCTGTCTGCTGGCAATTGGCAGATGCTAAGCAAATGGCAGGCGGAGCATCGCAATTTGTCAATACGCTGACGACTGACATAAATCCATCAGATAGCAAATCAATAGCTCAAGCGGCGGAAAAAATAAAAACCGCTTGCATAATAAATACGAATAAAAAGCAAAACATTGCAATAAACAAGTGACAGCTAGACAACAAGGCAGATGCAGCCGCAGATCAGCCGTTGCACTCGCTTCTAACATAATTACATATTTTGCTTACATGCGGCTGCATTTGCAGTTCCACTGACTGTGTGGCATGTTAAGCAGCTGTGGAGCTGTGGAGCTATGGAGCTGCGAAGCTCTGTTGCTGTGTTGCTGGTTGCCCACAAAGTGGCAAAACAAAAGCGCCGCACATGCGCAGCTTCACATCCGCATCGCTGACTGTTGACTGCTGTTGCTGCTTGTTGCTTGTTGCTTGTTGCTGCATGGCCCATGCGGCTTGCTGCATGCCCCAACAATTGCTTCATTTTGAGCAAATGAAAAGCAATTTCGATGCAGCAATTATGTGAGTCGCGGCCAGTGCCTGCTGCAGCACATATTCTGTTCAAGTTCGTTGCTTGAGTCTTTTGTTTTGCATATGACAAAAATGTTGGCAGCTAGTGTCAAAGATAGAACCAGCAGCTGCTGCTCCTTAAAATGCCCCATAATAACAGTGCAACAGTTTGGCAAGCATTATGCTAGACAGGCTGACAGCCATTGTATTTAAATTGCGCGACTGCCCAGAATTCATATTCACCGTTGTAGTTAGCTCACATCGCATATTATTTTAAGCTACGCGCTTGACAGCCACTAATCCAGTTTCCATCAAACTATTGACAAGTTATTTATAGCTTGCAACAGCTTACCCGTTTTTTATTTTGATAACTTATTGTTGTCGACGCCTTCTTGGAGACAAAAAAATAAAACAAATATTTTTACATATTAGCATTAGCCATGTTTAACTCTTGACATTTGGCGTCCAGGCCGTTAAATACGATACAAATATACATAAATGCGTCGCGCGTTTAGCAAACGGGTTTTCGATACATCCAAAATTGATATCACAGTAATTTGTTGCGGTTATTTGGCATGGATATTTACTGCGTAGTTCTTAGTGCCGCCAAATGTCAAGGCTCTGACAAAGAACCAAGCAACAGCAATGAGCAAAAGAGACAGCAGCAGCAGCAGCAACAGCAACAGCAAAAGCAATTTGCAACCAAATAAACAGAATTTCTAATTATTATTGAATATGAAGCCTAAAGCCAAATAACAGAAAACCTGGCTGGCTGCTTGGCTGACTAGCTGCCTGACTGTCTACGGCTAGTCATGCACAGATTGACCAAAAGTTCAACTGCCCCAAACACACATACACACACACACACACACACACGCAACAACAGCTTGGCAAATGAAAAACAAATCTTTCACACGTTCAAAATGCGCCAGAGCGCGGGGCAGTCTATTGATAGGAAGATACAGTAAGTCGATGTAGAGAAGTCAAAGACGAGCCGTAGGGAAGCTGCGGCACATTCTCTCAACATGTAGCAAGTGCCCGTGCCCGTGCCCGTGCCAGCGCCAGCGCCATTGTGCGTCGTCTATCTTTCGCGGTCTCTGCCTGCCCAGCTACCCATTGAAATTGTTTATTGAAATCGATGATGAATGATTGAAAGTAACTATTAGTTGCCTTCATTCTTGTTGTTGTTGTTGTTGTTGTTGTTGTAGCTGGTGTTGTTATTATTGAGTTTGCTGTCGGAAGCAATTTACAAATTGTTTTTCTAGACAGTTGGCGTTTTATGCTTTACTTTGTAGCTTTCTGCGCAATTTCTACTTGCCATTCATCTCATCTTTTCTGCTTTTATTTTTCGCTCTCTTTTGCAATTTCAATGCTTTTTACTTTTCATAGCTCCAATTACTGCAAAACTGCTGCAAATTTATTGCTTCTTGCTGTTTGCGTCTGGCTAGCTCAGTCGTATATAACTGAAAGAGCCATATACCATAAAAAGTTCGTTGCCTAAGTCTTTGGATATAGCTGTTGCAGAAAGTTCATGGTCCTTTGCAGTGCCTGCCAAACTGTGCGACAGCATTATTTAATTGTAAAGAAAATGTTTCGACTGAGGAAAAAGTAATGTTGTTTACTTTTTGTTTAACAATAAACAAAAACATTCCATTGGACAGAGAAAGCTCGGTGGTAGCTCAGTTGTCGGCGATTCAAATTTACAATATGTTCACTAGCGGGGCGTTGTTTTTGATAAGCGAGCGATTAACACTGCTCACAAAT